AATAAAATCAGAGCAGAAGCCTGGACGTGGATATGAGACCTGTACAATTATTCAGAGACCTCTGGATGTTTCAAATATATTAGATTGAGCCACATGAAGATGCAGGTGCTTATTTTTTTTACCTATAAACACAATAGATTCAAGTGATTCAACCCAACATTGTAATCCCCACCCAAAGGAAATTTTCTACTTGACATATTTTTCTATCCGGTTTTTGTGTGTGTGTGTGGTACTCAGGACTTGCCCTTACTAGGTAGCCATGCAACCACGTGAGCCAAACCACCAGCCCAACATTTTTCTAATTTCAAGGGCCCTAGAAACCAAATATCACGGATTATATCAAGACAAATATGATAACCAATTTATAATGGGATTCTTTCTTTACAAAAACATACGAAATTAACTTCAAACCTAGTTTAACTTGACCACTACCTATCTGAGTCTTGAGGTCTGGGAAGATAGAAGATAAACCCATCTGTACTTAGAAGGTGGTCAAGCGATTAGCAACTGCATAATGTTATGCAGGAGGTGACGGACATTTTTAGGGACTGAGATGCACTGGCACTGCATGAACACTCCTGGGTGAGCAACACCTAACACTTGCGGGAACCAGCATCACTCACGGAGCAACAAATGATGCTGAGAAAACTGGATATCCCACATGCAAACGAACAAATGTGGAACTTGATCTAACCCTATATACAACATTTAACACAAAATGAATCAAAACACAGGAGATGTAGTTCAGTGACAGAGTGTTTGCCCAGCATTTGTGAGGCCCTGAATTCAATCTACAGGAAGAAAAATGTATCAAGACCTGTATGTGGGCTGCCCCCGTCGCCTTCCATTCGCTGGGACCGTTTTCAGCTCTCGGCCGCGGGCGCGGCGCGTCCAACAGGAAGCGCCCCGAACCCAACAGCCGGCGGATCCCGCTGTCCCCCGCGGGCGGCCTGCAGACGCGCTCCGTGCGGTGCGCCCGGCCGGGGCTGATGGCAGCAGCGCGAGCCGCGGATGTCCCGCCAAGGTTCGTGGAAAATGGCTTCTGTGCATGCGCCACCGCGGCCGTTGAGACCCCAAACCGACGCCTCGGAGTCGGGAGCCTGGAGGGATGGGGCCGCGCCCCGGCACCCCGGTTCCCCGACCCCCCGGCGCGGACCCCGAGGACGCACGACGCGGCCGCACGTGTGGCTGCGGGCGGGCAACGTCACGCCGCGGGGCTGCGCGGGCGGGCGCGGCGTCGGGGGCGGGGCCCGGAGGTCACTTGCGCGGCGGCTGCGCGTCCTCCGCCCGCACCCCAGGCTTTGCTCCTCAACTTGAACTTGGCGGCTTACTCCCAGGTAGGAGATCCGAGGACCGCTGCTTCCCCAAGGTGGCACCTTGGCTGTCGCAAGGAGCAGGGCTCCGCGATGTGAGTTAGGAAAGGACTACAGCTAGGCACTGACGTGATGCCCGCATTTCAGGCTCAGGTGTGGTTGGTGGAGACTTGTGTGCAATGGAGAAGAAGAACTTAAATCCAAATCCGTGAGTGAATTGGATCGATGTTGCAGTGAGACAGAAGGAAGGGCCCCTGGACACCTCCATTATCACCTCCCAAGAATTATAAATTCAATTATAACATTCAGTAGCACCGAACTGTTCACATGAAATAGTTAAGTTGGTAAATTTTGGTACATCTGCTTTATTATAATAAAAAATTAAGAAGAGGTCAGGCATGGTGTCACAAGCCTATAATCCCTGCATTTTGGAGGCTTAGTTTGGATGATCCTGATTTCAAGGATAGCCTGAGCTATATAGTAAGAACCTGTCGGAAAAAAAAGTGATGGAGTAACAACTCATATGCATCAATACTTAAATGTCACAAATCACAGGTTGGTCTACATACCTACTCAGCAACCAGCATCTACTCCTGACCAGTGAATGAGTCACCAAACATCACTCTGACCAAGTGGGATTTGTTCCATGAATATAAGGTTGGTTCAACACTAATTAATATCATACACATTAAAAACAAATTTAAGGAAAAATCAGTATCCATAGATACTGAATGGATATTTGACAAAATTTAAGGCCCATTCCTAATTTCAAAATAGGAAATTTCAAGCAAATAGAAATTGAAAGATAAATTCTCAAAATGTATTTATGTACATATGTATGTGAATGGATGAGAAGATAGGTAGTTAAATAGGTAGGTAAGTAGATAGATAGACAGACAGATAGATAGATAGATAGAAGATAGATAGTTAAGCTCTTATTAATATTAGTCCCATAAAAACTATCTTAGTCAGGAAACACTGGAGTCATTTCCTCTGAAAGAGGCACAGAAAAGGATGCAACTATACATCCACTACTACTCAAGATTGTCATAGAGTTATTAGCAATGCAATTAAACATGATGCATGAATCAGCGAAAGGCAATATAATTGTAAAGAAGTAAAAGCATGTCTATTTGCAGATGATATTACAGCCCAGGCAGATGTGGTGGGAAATGACCCTCAGGAACTGGACTGCACAACTGTGTGCATCCTATCAACATAGGCACAGTCCCCTGCTGCCAAGGTCACATTTATGTTGGCAGGTGACTGATACAGATTTCCATCATTGCTATATGTGACCACGTACCTGTCTTAGTTCCCCACTCTTCTTCAACAGAATGCAACAGTTTGCAGAAGAGCATGTTCTTCACTTTTGTGATTTCTATGGAGGGACAAGTCCCATTTGTTCTCATCATACATTGAGTGGAGTGAATTATTAATGACCACATGTCTCCCTCTAACCACTTCATGTCCATGGGAGTATAAATTGTGTTGAGTGGAAAGTCACTGTGCTAGCTAGGTTTTGTGATATCAGGAACAGTGAGCCCCACTTGCAAATCAGTTTCCTGTCCTCTGAACGGCTTCCAGAAAGGCAGAACCTGTCTGACCCTGCCCAGCAGGGGTCACCCCAAAGCACATGGTTAGTCCATAGTCTGTGGAAAGCTATCAAAGAATTGTAGACAGTTCTTTCCTTCATATCTTAAATTCTCAAATTGGTACTGCCCACCAGTTGCTGCTTTCCAAAGTGCTAAAATGATAGCATCCTACACATGACAAAATACACAGTCCTATAGAAATATGTACATATTGTCAACTATATATATACTTGCTTTCATCCACAACTGTCCTTGTACCCAGCTGCTCTTATGTTCTCCCTTTATATTTCAATGTACCATTTGGCTCTGCGAGAAACACCTCTAGTACAAGCTCATCTTCAGGAGCAAAAAAAATCTGGTTAACACCAAAACAGAGGACTTAGATACTTTACTCTGTGAGTACCTAAAAGAAGTCTCTAAATATGTCAGTAAATGTGACAAGTTCAAGGGAAGAGGAATGGTATGTTCTGAAATGCCCTGTCTTGGCTATTTAAATCATTTCTGAAAACTCTACTAGGATTTGATATCTTGTGCAGTTAACACTGTCCACCAAAGATACGTGGCTAGAAACTCTGCACCAGGTTGCATTATATTTAGTGTGACAGTGCCTTAATTTTCCTTCTTGCTTCTGGTGTCATTCCTCTATAAGACTTTCCCCATGTGACCCATAAAAGTAGGTGAAAGTTGTTGGGTAGAAATAAAGGAAAACAAATGTCAAAAGGTTTTCTGTTTTAAAACTGTTACTAATGCATTAGGGTCCATATTTTGAAATACATATGATTACGTGACTATGCTGTTGTTTACATATACATTTATCTTTTGAATCTGTCTTTGAGATAGGGTCTTGCTTTTTGCCCAGGTGGACCTCAATGCTCCTATTTAAGATTCCTAATGTCACTGGGATGCCATACCCAGCATTTTTCCACTGAGACGAGAAATCTCATAAAACATTTCTGACTTTGCTGACCCGGAACTGCGATACTCCTGATCTCAGCACCCCAAATAGCTAGGATTACCGGTGAGAACCCATGGTACTGGATTCTTTTCTTTTTAATGGATGTGCATTTGGTTATTTTATACTTCCCCAATGACTAATTTATTCGGCAAAGCTTTGTAGTTACAAGGGATAAGTGTTTTACTTCTTTGCTTTAGTTTATCCATAAGTATTTTGTTCTTTTAATACCATTAAAGAGAAATTGTTCTAATTTTTTTCTCAGATTGCTCACTGTCAATGTAGAGAAACAAGGATTTTTGTGGGATGCATATGTATCCTTCTTCTTTGCTGAATTTGTTTGCTCTAACAACTTTAGTGTGTCTATAGGCTTTCAACATGCTAAATTAGTTCATCTATTTTTCTTCAACCTATTCAAGACTTTGATCATATCTGGGGAGGCTGGGGACATTATTTCTACAACATTTCCTCTACCTCTCTCTCTTCTTCTGAGATTCCCACACTGTGTGTCTTGGTATACTTGGTGGTGTTCCTTAAGTCTCTCATGTTCTGTTGCTTTTCATTATTTACCTTCCTGCTCATCTGATTGGATAACCTTCTTTTTGACTTCCGTGGAGAGTTTCCATTTCAGTTTCAGTACTTTTCAGTTCTGGAACTTCCTTACGTTCCCTTTATAATTTCTCTTTATGGATATTCTTATTTTGTTCAAATGTTGCTTTCCTGGTTTCCTTCATTTCTTTGTCCATGGGTTCCTTACTCATTCAACATACTGAAGACATTGATTAAACCTCTTGGACTAATAATTCCAAGGCCAAGGCATCATAAGGAATGGGTTCTGACAAATTATTTTTTCCTAGCAATGAGCCATCCTTTCCTGATTCTTTGTATGTTTTGTAGTTTCAAGACAGACATTCTGAATATTACATTTTGGTAACTCATGAAATATAACTTACTTCTCAGGGACCGCTGACTTTTATTTTTAGGGCTGGACGGTCCATTTGTGATTTGGGCCAATTATTTTTTGCAAAGTGTGTATTCCTTATTGTGTGTGGGTGCTGTTCTTAGGTTGTTATCTCTGAATTCAGTCAGTGGACCAACAAAATTCCCTAAATATCTCCAAAAAGGAGGATGAAATGCCTTTTAAATCCCCTCAACAGGATTTTGGGGAGCTTTAAACAATAGCTAAGATACTTACCAACCCTTCCGATGTCTAAAGCAGTGTTCATACCCTGGGTTTTTAGGACAAGGTCCTTATTGCTCACCCTGGCACCAAAAGCCTCACTGGAGTATGGACTGCTATCCACAAAGTTGCCTGCCACAAGCTTGGGGATGGAAAATGGGAGCTGCTACATGAAATGCTGGAATTCTCCCTAACCTAAGAGCCTCTTCATCAGGATCACCTTGGGTATTGCCAGTGTTAGACAACATTCCTGTGTTCCTTAATGGTGACTTATGATAGTTGTTGTCAGCTCTATTGTTGTTTTAGTAAAGGGATGGATTCCTGGATCTTCACTAACCTTCCATCTTCCATCTGGGCTCTGGTTTTTCTCAGATATTAAGTAGGCATGTTGGATTAGATCAATGAGCTGAGAATCCCTGGAGAACATAAAAAATTATCAATGCAAATATCCCCACCCATACACCCACACAGGATCTGATTGCTGTGGACAGGGTGGAATGTCCCTGTAACAATCCCCGAGGGGATTCTTTCGCTTCCAGGAGGTGGCCCTGCTGCTACTTGGCTCACTCTTCCAGGAGAATGATCCTTTCCAAGTGTTTATCTTCTACATTTTGCTTTATTACTCAGGACTTTGTCACTTAAAGGATCTGATTCTAACCACAAGGCAAACTGCTTGCCTTCCCCTCAAAGCGGAAACAGTGATCTGAGAGATAACCAGTAATAAGCAGGTGACTCTTAAAATACAGCCTGATGCTTTCACATGAGAAGGCAGCTTACCAAATATTTTAGCCAAATGTTCTTCATGCTCATTTAAGTTTGACCCAAAGTCAGAATTGTATGAGTTCTTATGATGGAGATGACCTATATGAAGAAAAACCTTATCTGTGATTAAATCTTTCATGGAATCTGCATGTATGATTTTTACAGTCATATTCTTCTGCAAGGTATTTTGAGAGGAGCATTTGCCTGCAGCCACCTATTCTCAGTGTCTCAAAGCATCTATGAATTGTCTACAAGGACCTTAAGTTCCAACAAAAGCTCATTTTTTCACGTGGTTTCCTGACAAGTAAGTGAGAAATTTGTGCACACAGCATCTTTAACTCTACAAGATAGTTGGTAGAGGGTTATATATGATGCATGCTAAATGACAGGAGGTATGACTGCTTTCATCCAATGAATTACAAACACACTGTTCTCTATAAATGAGACATTGTCAATCACTAGGAATAAATATACTTAACTCTGTAAAGCACTTTGCTAAAAATGAGTTCATCATAGAGTCATCCAAGGGTGTTTATTTCAGACTGGTGCTGAATAAACTAGGAAGGTCATACAGGAAAATACTGAGTTTTTCTTAAACAAGTATCTTATGAAATACATTGGCAATGCCATGAGTTATAATATTGCTTTACTAATAGTCTTAGGATTGCAATAAAATCACATACCTAGTATCCTGGTAAAGAATGACTTATTTTCAAATTTCTTCTTAATGGAAACAATTTCTCTGTTATTTGTGAGTAATATGGGGCTGATGTGCATGAGTTGTTTTGTTTTGTTTTGTTTTTCTTCTTTTTTTCCACAAGTATTCTGCTGGAATCTCTAGCTTTGGCATAGGCTAAAGGAGAACTCAGCTGTGGTGTCCTGAGCAAATATTTTACAAGGGCTGAGGCAGGGGTGTCAGTGATGGGAGGTATGTGGAAAGGCAATGCTCTGCCAGGAAGTAAATGGGGCACTTGCGTGCAGTAAACTCAAATGCAGTCATGAAAGAGAAGTTATTACACTTTGTGTATAAAGTTCCTTGGAAGAAACAGTGAGCCCCACTTCCAAGTCAGATTTTTGTCTCAGAACGACATCCAGGTGGCAAAGTCTGCCTGACTCTTCCATGATGGACTGCCCCATAACACAAGGGTGGTTACCTGACTCCATAGTTGGTGGACTGTTATAGGAAGGATTTTAGACAGCTCTTTCCTTCACATCTCAATTTGGTACCACCCACCACTCACTGGCTTCCAGAATGCTAAAATGATAGCATCCCACACCTGATAAGACACTCAGGCCTATAGAAATATGGGCACTTTGAGCATCAACCACATAAACTTGCCTCCATGCCCAACTCCCCCTGTAATCAGCTGACCTAATGTTTTTGCTTCATACTTCAGTGCCTCATCACTCATGCCTATAATCCTAGCTACTAGGATTACAGAAACCTCCTTTAGGAGGGTGAGATCAGGAGGATCAGGGTTCAAAGCCATCCTGGGCAAATAGTTTACAAGACCCTATTTCAAAAAAAGCCTATCACAAAAAGGGGCTGGTGGAGAGGTCCTGAGTTCAGATTCCAGTACCATAAAAAAAGAAAAAGGAAAAGAGAAGAATGTTTACCTTTGCTCCAAAGCAGTAGGGACAGGTGACCTGGAGACAACCAAGGACAAATAGATGATTCCAAATACAGTCCAAAAATGTCGCAGAAGGGGGACACTTACCAAATATTTTAACAAAGTCATCATCTAGATTATTTGCACTTGAGGAAAATTCACAATTTGAACCTGTGGAGAAAATAAGCCCTAGCTGTGATTAAGTCTTTCACTGGATCCAGATGTATGGTCGTTACCTGTATTGATGGGGAGATGTTCTAAGACCCCAGTGGAAGCCAGAAACTGTGGTCATTCTGAGTCCTGTCCATGATTTTTCTTTGTTTGTTTGTTTCTTTTGTCTTTTGAGGTTTCTCTGTATGGCCCAGGCTGACCTTGAACTCTCAGTACTCCTGTCTCAGCCTCGAGTGCTGGGATTACAGTTCTGAGTCACTACACCCAGCTTGTTTGGTTAAATCACCAGTAAACCCAGGAAGGATCAGATCACAGAAAACATTTGGATTTTTAAGTGTCCTGACAAGAGAAGTCACTTTCTCCCCTTCTCTTGCTATCCTCTGACAGCACACCCCTTCAGAGGATGCAGCCCCTGAGCTGTGTGGCACTAGTGGCCTTCTTTCATCGTTTTCGTACACATCTCCTGAAATCCATGGCAGGTGACAGTTTTGTTTTGTGACTTTGGAATGTGTGATTGATGGAAAACAATGCTGGATTTCCTCTACTACCAGGTTTGTGTCAACAACTTTGACTCTTCTTACAGATTGAGAGAATTTCCTTGAGTGTGCTCAGCCAATCACTTTAGTAAGTAGCAAGACCCCCAAAATGGAGGAATCCTAATGTTGCTTTGGAAAAGCTATGTTCATAAGAGCGCTATCCATAATACCAAAATTTCCATCAATTCATAAACAGATAAACAAAATGTAGTATATCCATACAATGGAATGTTATTCAGTCAATAAATGGAAAGTGGTGACCTGTGACTTCACATCACCTCCCCCATACAAACCTATGTCCAAATCTCCTCTTACAAAACACCAGTCATATTGAATGAGAGTCCAGCCTAATGATCTCATTTTAACTTAATTATCTCTGTCAAGACTCTGTCACTATATACACTGACATTCTGAAGTCCTTGGGGTTAGACCTTCAATATCTGAATTTGGGAGAACACAATTCAACCCTTGTCACCCGTTCATGGCCATAGCATAAATCTTCTTTCTCTAACACGCATTCAGGAAAGCAAAAACTAGTACAAAAATTACTAAAACAGCATATGCAACAACACAAAACCCATACGTTCAGTATCACTAAAACAGAAAATGGCCAACTTCAAATGACCAGTAAGGAAATAGAAAAACAAATGCTCACCTGAGCTATGGCTCTTTCACTTCTGGTCTCTGTGAAGAGAAACATGACAGCCCAAGATGAACTAAAATCACCACTTTGCATTTGGAAATGCTGAAAATAGGTCTTGGTAGATCCCAACAAATCTGTGGGGGCGGGAAAGACCTGGGAATAAAGACTGCCACAGAGCAAGACCCTGGCAGGCCTAAGCGTGTGCTGGGGAATGAAGTCGTTTGGGAGCCACTTGCCTGGAAGCTTTCACACAATTCTGCGGCTTATTTCAACCAAAGCAGTGGAAAAAAGGGCAGCTCCACAGTCCAGATGCATTACCACCCATTAGCAATCCTCTCTATTTTCACACAGTCCCAAATCTGAAACCTTTCTGACCTTCTCTCTGCTGGCCCCTTCCCTTCCTTCCCCTCCCTCCTATCTCATCACATCACCAGAGGAAGAGAAGAGCTGTCTTGGCACCCACACATATGTGGCATATGGACAGTTTATCTTTATGGAACCATCGTAAGAGGGGCTCAAGTGGCTTAAACTGAAAAGCACTGACTCCTTACTTGGCACACAAATAACTAATAGCAAGAGGAAAGCATGGCATGTGCCCTCCATTTTGTGTCTGTGTTTGCTGTAAGCCATTCTTTCCAGGCACTTTTCAATCACCTTGTATGCCAGCAAAGACACGTAACATCTTCATGGCAAGGGACAGAAACTACACCCAATAGTAGAACTTTAGTTGGATGAAGCACCTGCCTGGCTCCAGATGACAAATCCGGAATCTGACCACTCCAACTTCATCTGTAAATGAACTGTTTAACTATGCATATATTTGTCCCTTGTCCCCGGGTCTTTTGCCTACTTAAACCTGAAGCTCATATTTGATGGCTAAAGATGAGCTGAGTGCTTACTCTCCCTCTTCCCATGCCACGTCCAGAGCCGTGTAGTACATCTCCTCACTCTGCCTTCACCATGCCTCTTGATTTAGGATTTAGGAGTGAGTGGCTGAACCTGGCATGTGGAATCTCAGTGTGTGGTCCTGGGATCCAAAACTCCAGTTTCACCTGCAGACTTTCTCTGCCTGACTTCTCTCATTTCCACACAGATTTGCTGAGGAGCTAGGCATGAGGGAGAAGCATCAACTTTTGGGTTTTCATTTGCTCATTTTGTCTTGTTTCAAGATGGGGTCTCTCTATGTGCCCAGGCTGGCTCCAAACTCCTGGGTTCAATTTATTCTACTGCCTCAGCTCCTGGGAGGTTGGGACTACAGGCATGTGCCACCACATTCAACTCCAAGACATCTATTTTTATGCAGTCACCCAAGTCTAGAAGGAGAGTCAACAAACTCTGTAAAGAGAAAATTTTTTTGGCTCTGTTGGCTACAGACATGTGTGCAGCACATTCTTCTTTGTGGATGATGTTACAATCCTTGAAAACATAAACTTTGGGAAAAAAGTGAATGATATCAAAAGCTGGGTTTTTTAATGAAAAAATCAATAAAATATAAATCCTCTAGACAGACTGACCAGGTGAAAGAATCATAATGTCATGAATAAGAAAGTAACAATCTCAACAGATACTACACACATGAAAGGGAAATCATGAGACATATGCCAGATCACTCAATAAGCCAGATCACTCAATAAGTTGAAATGGAAAAATTCCTCTTCAGACACAAACTAACACAGTCCACTCAAGAAGAAATAGCCAGGCTTCTCCAGAGGCTGAAGCCAGTTAGAGGCTAGTCAGGGCAAAGATGTTTGTGAGTGCGCTTCTTAATGGAAAGAGCAGAGAGGCGTACTGCCTGTCATTCCA